AAGTCGAAGTTAAACCGAACACCGATCGATTAAAAAACCACCGAATGAAAAAAAGAATTCCCAAAGAAAAAAATTTTGAGGGAGGACCCATCCCAACCCTGGGAAACCTGCTAACTAATCTGACTAAATTTTATATATTAATCGCATCGAGCCGAATCAGAAGTTTGTTGACTTCTATAAGAATTTGGAGTTCGAGGTTCAACCAGCGCACTATATATTAAACCTCCCTTGAACCCAACCCAAAGAGACTCAACCAACCAGCAGGACATCAGTGCAGCGTCTTCTTACTGACCCGTCCCCAGCCTCCTCGCATGCGACGGAAAGGAAGAGAAGAAAAGACCCAATGGGGCGTTGGCCCTTTTCTTCGCCACGCTTTCAAGTCCTTTTGTGAGTTGCACTGGTAACGAGAGTCAGCTCTTGTCTTGATCATGAGGCGGTAGTTGGTGGGATTAACTGGACTGGATTGGATTGGAGAGGACTGTAAAAGACCAGGACCTGTGTGGACTGGAGTGGAAAGATCTAGATCTGAGACTGGACCAGACTGAGGTAAACTGGACTGGACTGAGGTAAACTGGACTTGACTGAGGTAAACTGGACTTGACTGAGGTAAACTGGACTTGACTGAAGTAAACTGGATTGGACTGAGGTAAACTGGACTGGACTGAGGTAAACTGGATTGGACTGAAGTAAACTGGACTGGACTAAGGTAAACTGGACTGGACTGGAACGGACAGAACTAGACTTGATTGGAACCAGACAGAACTATCTCAGATATGCATAATATCTGTCAGAAAACTTTAGCTCCTAAAAAGTAAATAACATCTATCACACTTGGTACAATGTGAATAACAAGTGTCATTAGATAATATGACTAATTATTATATGGCTGTGTCTCATAAGGACTGGGAACTACCAGATTCACGAATTTGATTGACCGAAATCAATATTGAAAGCGGTCTAGATTTTCCAGACCGGCATCTAGACCGGTCTGGAAAAAAAAGCTACAAAGAATATGAAAAATTGGCATATAAGATACAGCTATATAACAAACATCTTATTAACTGAGCTAGGTCGGTCTGTATGGGAGAATCTTGGCCTCGGTCACTGGTACAGACCTCACTGCGTTCGGTCTGTACTGGCGACCTCGGTCATGATTCTCCCATACAGACCTCCCGCTCGGTTAATAAGAACTAAGTATAAATTATTGAAGCTGTAGTATAGTAATCACTACAAATTTTCTGTTCAGTTCAGTTACGAAACCTGTTTTGTGCGTAAGATCTAAATGGACCTTTTCTAATAAAAATAATTCATTGTTAAGAGATTAACAACTTGCCAGCACAAATAGTAAAAAGGTAATTACACACAGAAATTCAACTACCTCCCTCGCAGATCCTACCTGTCTCAAAGAACGGACCAGCCACCAATTTGAGTGACAATCTTACCGCCCGTGCATGAAATGTAGAAATGTGCGTATGCAGTTTAATATTCAAAAATTTCACAAAAGCAGGTTTCGGCCTAAAGCTTGCAACTGCTGAAAGAAACGCGATCGCGAACTTCAAACGGCTTCAAAGAAGAGCATAAAAGCTTCCTTTTGCTTTTAATTTTCATTGTACAGGGCAAATACTCACAGGAATAACCTGACAGGTTACTTAGCAGAATTATTAAACAGATTATTCGAACGAAAACGCCTACCCATAACATGCTCATATACACACGCACATGGCCCAGGTTTCTTTGAAACCCCTCTACTAACTATGTTGAGACTTACTTTCCAAAAAGTTTAAAGCTTACATAAAAGTGGGCAAGTACTTACCTGCTTCCGTCCGTTGCTAGAAATGGCACAAAACGTACCGCTCGAGTTCCTTTTCTTTGAAAGACAAACAACAGCCCTCAATCTTCGTTACGGCAAAGTTTGAATTTATCGAAGCTTATGATAATTTCGAGAAGAGCGCCCTTTTTCAACCGTGCCCACGTGGATAACAGGGCTCTGTTCTGATTGGTTTGCACGGTTGCACGGGTTTCGTGCACGAATAAATCAGTGCAAATTTACATCAGAGAACTTTTTTTAGTGTTCTCCAACGGAATCTTGAATGAAAATAATAATGTGCGACCGATATGTCAGTTCAAAAAGATAGCGGGTCGGTTGACTTTTAGACCTTTTACTCACTCTATCCTTTGTTTGAAGGATTGGGTTAAGAAAGAAGGTTTGCTCACCTAGGCCTCTACCAGACGAAGAGGTTCCTTTTCGGCTTTGTCCAGACTACGGAAGTATTACAGGAAGCCAGTGAAAACTCAAAGTTACATCAAGCCCAAACGGCCTAAAGCGTGGGAAAAGCGAGTGACCCTGCAGGGGCGATTGATTCAGAATTTGGCGCGAAGCGAGCCACGTAGGCAGCGCCACTTCATTTTCTTAAAAGAAATTTGCTACTGCTTGCGTCCTCACAGGTTAAAAGCCTATCGTTTGCTGAACCGGTAGACCCTTCGAAAATTGTTTTAAGTTTATTTAACAATAGTAATAGACCGTTCTTTCGGTTTACCAGCGTAACAAACAACCCACGCAAGGAAGTTAGGAGATCACGAGCCGGAGGCGAGTGAATTACTAACTTTCTTCTTTCTCTCCGACCATCTCGCGTGAGTTTGTACGCCGGTAAACCAATTGAAAGTGTCGTCTACTATTTAACTACTCATTTATTTGTTTTCATTTGGAACTTTATCGCCGATTTCTAATAGCTCGTGCAAAGGACCACATAAGGAAAGAGGCACTGTTTGTATCAAAGCTTGGAGCCTGGTTAACAAAAAAAACAAAAAAACAAAAAAAAAACTGTTAAATGACTTTCGAATAACGCTGCGTAGAAGACAATGTTTTATTTAATGTATTTATAAACATTGCCAGAAATAATTAAGGAATAACTTGTGGCGGCGAAGAACCGACACAGTAAAATCTCTACAAGTTGAATATAGAAGTCAATATTACGTCTAACTATGCTATCAAGCAAAATCTTTCATTGCACTGGGGTATTGAGCATCCTTGGCTTTCATGAAAATTTACATGAAAGCCAAATGTACCTTCAGAATGCGTACTGCCTTAAATTCGATTCTTTCAGAGAGACCGCTTGCGCTTCGAAGCAAAACTGTGCATAAGTACCGCATCCCAATTAATTATTTCTTCCCCTTTTTGTCTTAGCGAGCTTCTCTTTCCTTTTCTTGACATGTTTGGGTGTTTTGTTCTGTCTCTTTTCTCTGTTTGCTTCTTTAACAAGTTTTTTGTGCTCCTTTTTGTTCAGAGCTGTGCCTTCCTTGTGTAAATTCTTTCCTTTCTCAGCATCATTTTGGCCATCACTGTCAGTCTGATCGTCAGAACTAGCATCGTCATCAACATTCATGATGTCCAGTTTGTCGATACAAAGTTCCTCATCGCCTCCTTGATTTTCTGGTTGATTTGTGAGAAGTTCAGGATGTGCAAGTACTCCTGTTAAGTCAGATTTCAGGCCGGTTAGAGTCGAGTACAAAATTTCTTGTGCTTGTCCTTCCTTCGCTCTCTGTGCATCTTTCTCAAAGTCTACAACTTGCTCGAGTGTCCGGGGTATGTAAGCTTTCTTAAACACTTCTTCCTTGACTGTCTCTTCGGGGTTTTCTTGCTCAACTCCACGATTAGCAGCTATCGCTTGTGCTTTCTCGAGATAGTCGTCAACATTGTCGTCATTTAGGGTAGGATCTGTCACAAAGTCGAATAGCTCGCGAACATTCATGACACAGACTCCATTCTTCTTGAAGAAGTCTGTAACATTTGTACAGTCTTTTCTTAAGAACTCTAAGGCGTGTGGATGATCATGCTCCACAGACTGGGAAACATCAATCACATACAGCTGATCTCCACTGTATAACATGTTAAACTCACTCAGGTCGGCGTGAACTAGACGGCATTTCCAGTAGATGTTTCGAACGATCTGGATACACTGGAGGTACAGTTCCCTCGCCTTAGATTCGGACAACGTAACATCCTTGAGTAGAGGGGCCGGCCAACCATCCATCCCTATGAAGCTCATCACGAGGACATGACTGCGAAGTATGATCGGCTCTGGGCAAGGGATATCCGCATTGAACATACGCGTCAGGTTTCGCATTTCTTTCTCCGCCCAGGTCTTAACCATCTTACGGGGGTTGTGTTTGCAATATCCATGGCGGAATCTGAATTCCCCAGTCACATATCTATCCCTGTCCTTAAAGATAAGAATGGATGTCTTGTATACTTTTACTGCCCTCTCGTCACCATTTGCATTGGTGCTGTGATATACATTTGCCTCTTTGCCAGTACTGATGCAGCCATTTATTTCACATATCACTCCTTTGTTCAGGATTTTGAACAGAATCATTCTTGTGCGAGGATCCATAACTTGTTCCACAGTGGCCCTGTCTGCCTTATCTTTGGCGCGAACTCTATCATTTTCAAGCTTCTTATTTGCTTGGATCAGAACATTCGCGGCTTTATTAGATAATTTCGGGCCCTCGTACCTCTCAACTTTAATTCGATTGCCAAATCTTGCAAATGATTTTTCGTTAGGTTGCAAAGAAGACTGACGTTTACCTGAGGTATTCGAGACATGAACCTCTGACTTTGACGCGTTATAACGTTTCGTAAAATCCCCTGTCTCGTCTTCCCAATCCCATCCATCAAAATCTTCATCGTCGCTGTCTTCTGAAGAAGATTTCACGTGGTCTATCGATTCGCCATTTTGATGTTTGTCCGGCTCATGTAATTCTTTCACGATGGGTTCAGAAGAAGTATAATGAGTCAGTGAGTTGGGTACTACACTTTCGTCTTCTTCGGCATCCTCAAACTGGCCTTCTTGCGCAGTACTGGACCTCAATTCGAACTCCATTCGTGAGTATCAGCAACCGATCAGTAAACATGTGTCCTCATTGAGCCACTATTGCGCAAGCGATAAGACTTTTCAGCGGCTGGTCACAGAGAGCATGAGTGTAAGTAAGCTCTGCGTGACTTTCTTGCATTCAAACAAGAAAAAGAATTCTCTGACGAACTTTTGTTTATCTTCAGGTGCGATTCGCGTTTTCATACGATCTAAAATTTCAAGTTTGAACTTGGAAGAAAGCTGTCGCGGCCGAATTAACTTGTTTCTTGGAGCTCTTATGACAAAAGGCTTAATGACAGTCACGTGTCGTTACGTGAAGCAAGAACGTGACATCTTCACCGAAATAGTTTACCTTTTCTTCAAATTAGAAGCTGACAACGTCCGCTCTTAGTTTCACTCCTGAACGGGAAACATCCCAAAACTTCTGACACCTTAAAGCAACTGAAAGCTTTTGGTATGCTTTCGGTATAGCATCGATCCAAGTGCCAACTTTTTAACGCAGGTGAACTCGAATTTCGCAGTTTCGTTTTCATGTTCCTGTGCGGGCGGACTAAATTTCAAGCTGGTCTGTTTTGCAAACAAAAGAATTGGAGCCACTGGAATCTCCGAAAAAATCAAAAATTTTGACTTTGAGTGTTTTGACAGCTTGACAAGCGGACAAGCTTTTCTTCCGGTCAATTTTAGAGCTGGATTTTCTTCAAGCGCGATGGATTTCATTTTCTCCGACGGAGGACCAAGATTGACGGCTTCACGGCGAAATGACGATTGAAATCGGCCGAATAAAGGTCAGCCTGTATGCATTTTGTTTTAAATGTATTCGAAAATATTACTGTCAACAATATCTCATTTATTTCTAAAACGAGTTTGTTGTTAAGCTGTGATATATTCAATATCACTCTAAAAAAAAAAAAGAGGGTGATGTTTTTTTGAAACTAATATCGTGCACATTTATTTGCTCGTCATGATGATCAGAGTGGAAAACTCTGGTTTCTGGCTAAGATCGACGTACAGGGCCGGGTACATTATGAAACCTTTGCAGATTTTGCTTTCAAATGAAAACTATGGCAAGATTTCCTTATAACCCCATACTACATTGTGCATTCAATTCTTGGATAAAGGAAAACAGCGGCAAAACAACAGATTTCCTTTGCTTTGGGACAAGGGCTTTGTTTGTTTTATTGGTATTGGGTTTTACGGAAACCTTTCCAAAATCATTCTTAGTAGAAACGAAAATGAAAATAATTTTCTACATTTATAGTGCATAATTGCAATAGACAAAAATGGTCATATTCTATTTTAGATGACAAAAAAGACAAAGGGCTTTTTCATTCTGAATGCGTGACTTGTCAATTTCTGTCACGAACATTTGGACATCTTCAACAATTTATTTCGTAATATTTGCACAGTATGATGAGAAATTTAGTTTTTGTCTGGTCTTGTGGGCTGCAGAATACAACTTATTTCAGGTGTTTTATTTGTAGACATTGTGCAAACTTTAGACACAGAAATAACATGCAAGTATGAAGGGTTTAGTTTGAACTTCACAAGAGGAAGTCCTCAGTTTTGTTTTTATCTAGTGTAAACAAAAAAGTTGGCAAATTTTTTTTTTGTAAAGTACCCTGTCTGTTTTCCTGATTGATACTCGCGAGTGTTGCAACATCCAAAGAATTATTGTTTGCTAGTTTCCAAAAATTTCCCAGTGACCTTGTACATTTGGAATTTCAAAGTGGTTTTCAAAGGTTGCACATGGCTGTCATGCAGAAGCAAGTTTTAGAAAATTGAGTTATAGTTGGTAACTGTTATGTGTTTGCAGGGCATCAACAAAGGGGATTTTACATGGAGAAAACAATTTTTTTAATAAAAAAAGACATGTACTGTTGATATTTGGGTATAGGCATTTCTGTTTAGTCCTGAATTATATGCAAGTAAAGGACATTCATTTTTCATACATGTACATGTATTAAAAAAAAAAGAAAACAAGATAGTCCACTCTGAACCCAACTCTCTGATAAAGAAACATTAAAAATAAGAGCATGACAAATCTTTTTTTTTTATGTGACCAACCATACATTGTAGATCCAGCAAAGGTGTTCCATGAAGCTCATTTCTTGAGGATTTCCAGATGTAAGATGTAGAGAATGGCTAGTGGTTTGCAACCTCATAGGGATTGAGACATTGTTGTGAAATGGTTGTGCAAAACACATGAAGCCTGCATTTATGCTTTTTATGTCTTTGATCACTGTCAATGTTAGCGTAGATTGGCCAGAAAAAGAGACAGAAATGGAATTAACTGTATAATTACTTGACGTATTTTAACCTGATGTAAGTACATGGATAGCACAGTACTTAGTAGCTCTTTAAACTCACAAATTAAAATAAAACAGTATTATTGTAATACGGTTTTCTTTTTTTTTCCACAGCTCTTCAACTGATAGAAGGTGCATTGAAAAAAGGCCTGCACCAGTAATGTCCACTCCCAAAATATCCTTTAGCAGTCATTATTTATTGGAATCAGAGCTTTCACCAAAAGTCAATATTGCCATGTCCACAGAGGAGCTACCTGACAATGACAACTACACTGGTGAGGTAAGGCAAGACTAAATTACATGTACTGTAGCATACCAGGTAGGTTTACAGGTAGAAATCACCAATAAATGAAAAATGTCTTCCACAGTTGGGTATTAGTGAGTTTTGGCTTTGTTATTTGCAAAATGATACTAGTGTTTAAATGCCTTGTTTAAGTGACATTTCCTCTTTACCCTCTGATTCAACAATGGCTTAAATCAGGCAAATCTACTAGCTGCTACTTAAACTACTGTACTTCAATAAATCAGCAAAGTGATGTTATGTGCATACATGTGTGTATGTTATAGGACACTTTCAGTAGCTTTTCTTGAGTATTACGTAAATTTTTAGTTGTTGAGTTGTTGCTTTTTCAAACCCAAAAGTTGTTTGTTTTACACAACAATGTAACACAAAGGAAATTTATAGTTTTGAATAACAAAGACACACATTGTGTCTATGCCATTGTGAATGGTGTCTATGCAGGTCTAACGTCCTGCATTTAAAATGCAGCTGTGCTGTTAACCTATATCTGAGCAGTAGTGTAACTTGTTTAAGTTTAATTGCTTGCTTATTTTTAAAAGGCACTGTATTCTGTCAAGCAATTATTATTGTTTTTTTTTTTTTTAATTTTATTTATGATACTAACCGCCTCCCGGTTAGCTCAATGGATAGAGCGCTGGACTGTTGTGCGGGAGGTCGAGGGTTCGAGCCCCGGCCGGACCAACACTCAGGGTCTTAAAATAATTGAGAAGAATTTGCTGCCTTTCTATAATATCAAGAAATGGTTAGATATTCTAGTCTTCTCGGATAGGGACGAATAAATGGAGGTCCCGTCTCCTGCAGGGTTGGGGTAGGAGACGTTAATTTCCCACACACGAGATTACTGTGTGATGGATGTCCTCCCCTGGGGTGGGATGGGTGGGAGGGTGGACTAGCACGAATGGTTCCTATGTTCCTTTCTAGTCCTTCCCCACTGCAAAAACTTAATGCAGTGAAAATGGACTAAATTAACTAAATTAAATTAAATTAAATACTCACTAATTTTATTTGTGTAATGGTTTAGTCATCAGAGGAAGATGAGGTTGATTGTACTGTTGGGAAGAATTTTGATGCAGCAGTGTTTGATTTTCTGAGGGTTCCACCAGAGGAGTTTGCTGTAAGTCACTTTTTTTAGAGAACATTCCATTTGTCCTTTTTGTTAGTTAGTTTTTTTTTTGTTTTGTTTGCCTGTTAAATTTTTTTGAGAGAATTTGTTGAAAAAAAAAAAAAAGGTTGAAAAACATTTGTAGAGATCTCCAGCTACATGTATATAAATTGCACAGTATTTGTGATAGTATTTTTCTCTAAACAGCAACAACTCACAATTTTGGATCTGGCTGTTTTCAAGGTGATCAACCCAGATGTAAGTTGTTCAATTATAATTATAATTATAATCAGTGTAGTGCAAATGATGTAGATACACGGCTCTTACTGAAACCCCTTGGACTTAACCAGCTGTTCCATTTATTGTTTTGTAAATAATGTTTTTGGTAACTTTGTTAATATAATGATAATAGTATATACATTTAGCTATTAATCACATGAGTGGCTGGATTATGGAAATTTCAATATTGATAATTATTACATTGCTTGCAGTGCCTGTGGGCAAGATGAAGTGAATCCTGTCTTCTGATTGGCTACCCGAGTGGGCAAGATGGGCCCATCTTGCCTGCTTGGGATTGCCCACATTGATCCCACACATGAAAAAAAGTAGAATTAGAACTACATTTGTAATTCTTGGACAATTTTGGCGATGGAAATGCAAAAAGTGACAGAAGATAGTCAAAACAAAGAAAATAGAAACAATTCTCATGAGTTTGTTGTGTTACAAACACAAATGATATTGTTGGCAGTGTCTATCGGCAATATAAAGCAAATCCTGTGTTCTGATAAGCTACCTGAGTGAGCAAGATGTGTTTGGGATTGCCTGCTTTGATTCTGCGGAAGAAAAAATAACTACTTGGAACAGACACACAAATAGGGCTCGATACTATTAACTTTTCAACTTACTAGCCAAGTGGCTAGTGACATCTTAGATGTTTTTAGATGGTATTTCAATTTCAGTCTGTTTACTAGCCAAACTGGCTAGTGGAAATTGAAAACCACTAGCCAAAACTGAATTTCTACTATTCTGTGGCTAGTGGGCTACCGTTAGTGTCGAGCCCTGACAAAGTTTCTAATTTTTGGACAATGTTGATAGTGGGATCTCAAAAGGCAGCAGAAGACAATATAAAACAATTCTTGTGGGTTTATTTGCCATAAACACAGTTTGCTTTCTTTTCTGGCTCTTGAAATAAATGAGTCATTCATGATTCTTATTAGAATGAAGTCTTTTTGCCATATACTATAATGAATCCTTTATTGACCAAGTTGTTCAGTCATGATGGGTGGATACTAGCTTTTTTTTGTTTTTTTTTGTTTTCTGTTTCTATGGACCTCAACTTCATCTTGTTCCATAAAAATGCATGAAAAGAATTTGGCCATTATCCAACCATCCTTGCCTCATGCTTGCTTAATAATGCACATTTATTATTATAATAATAATATCATAAATATATCTATCATAGGAACTATCAGGAGTTGGCTGGACCAAAAAACAAAAGATTGAGCTTGCACCAAACATTGTTGCTTTTACAAAGAGGTTTAACCATGTAAGTTTTTTCTTGAGTTTTCTGCTACATGTATATCTGTGCAATATAATAAACTTGATTATCATTGCTATTGATAGGTTTTTATTTCTCTGTTTATTAGTCAACCAAAAGTGATTTAATACGAACAATACACAATAATGTTATGTTTTCATTCATTCATTCATTCCCAATTATGATCTAAGATAAAGAAGGATATGCTGCTTTTCCCAAAGCTCGTTTCCAGGGCAAATAGGAGAGAAAAACAAACACTTCATGTTTGGAGTACTTTGGCTATGGTCACTTGACCATATCTGCTTAATATTAAATAAATTTAAATTTAGTTTTGATTCTTACAACATTCATGAAATTTGGCTTGGCTTGGAATGGGGAGGAGGTGGGCAAAAACTTCAATGTTGTCTGGCTGAATAGCAAGGTGGGAAAGACACATCTTAATCCCCGACGGGGGCTGCTACAAATGACAACCTCTCAACCCCAGAGCATTTGCATGATAATTATTATGTAACACATAAAAACATGTGAATCTTTTGTTGCATAATTTGCATAATATTACATAACACATAAGTCACGTGAAACTTAACACTAACTAAAAACACAGGGATTCCATGGAAACATAAAATCCCTATTCGAGTCCAAATATTCCATTTATCTACTCCTACTTTGACAACTCACAACTACATGTACATGTCTTTATTAGCTGTGAGAAAGGGCTACTGACTGTGCTATCTGTTACCTAACAATATTGTTCGTAAAATAAACCCGACAAAGTTGAAATGCTTGGTCTAACTGTATGAAGTATTTAATATGTTCTCTGCCTTTCAACCTTAAACCCTTCGAGTGACCAGCAACAAATCTCTGCTTACGGTAACACTTCACTTAGATCATGGAAGTAAAAGATGTACTGTAAATCCTAGAATAAGCTTCCCTTCTATTATAAGCCCCCCTCTTTAGAGGTAGAAATTTATTGAGCTCCCCCCCCCTCTCCCCGTCCCCATTTTATTAATGGGGTTAATAATCACACTTTAAAACTCGACACAGGTCAGCTTTTGGGTGGTGAGAGAAATCCTGAATGCCAACAAGACAAAGACAAGAGCTACTGTCCTCACTCATTTTATCAAGATAGCAAAGGTACACTGTCAGTACTTTAAGCCTTTTACATATTACAAAGTCTGGAACCTTATTCTTATCTGTGATATTGTTCTCATAAGTTGGCTTATACATGTGCATTTATAAGACATGTAACGTCTTCTTTGAATAATTGTTAATTTATCTTTTTAATATTTGTGAATCATACAGAAACTTTTTGAGTTAAACAATCTTCATTCCTTGAAAGCTGTCATCTCTGGACTTCAGAGTGCTCCTGTGTATAGACTGAACAATACTTGGGCGGTAGGTTGGACATTCCATGTACATGCATTAACCTTTTTTTCTTTCTAATCAGTGGAATCAAAGATTTAGGTAACATCAAATTAGCTTGCCAGTATCATGAACTAACAAATGTAGCATATTAACCAATACCTCCCTAATGCAACTCTGCAAGCTGTGGATTATGACTTTACTCAATTGCATACAGTAGTTACCCTTCAACGTATCATCACATTTACCTGATGGATGCCGGAGAGGAAACACTATGACCAATACAGTGGTCAAATGTTGGGGTNATTTCCCATGCAAAATTTTAAAGGAAAATAAATATATCTTATTAACCAAGTGTGAGGGCTGTACTGGGAGAATATTGGCCCGAGGTCTTGACAGTACGCACCAAGCGCGGCTCGGTCCGTACAAAAAAGACAGAGGGCTGATATTCTTCCAGTATGGTCCCGAGCAAGCTCGGATAATAAGAGATTTATTACACGACTGAAGTTGAAAGGGACAAGTGCGGTATCATTTGGGACCATTCGGGACAGTGCCCGGTCCAATACTGAGAGAATATTGACCGGCAATAGAGCATTTTGATTGGTTGATTTTAGTTATTGGCCCTCTGACTACCCGAGTTGTGTAATAATAAAGAAAAAAACAGCTCTCTCTTTTAAAACTCTGTGACTTCCAGTACTTGCTTAAAATTATATTGGTTGGTCATATCTCCTGTACATCTACTTGGTTCTGTCAGCTCAAAGCACAACTCCTGGACATTACAATGTTCACAACACCCTAACATTTAGGGACTGCCTTCCAAGCGTGATCTCACATGTATCAACCACATACATGTAGTCTATCCGAACCCAGGATTTACCTAATAATCTGGCCACAGCTCTAAGTGCCAGCCAGAAAACAACAAGCACATCCATAACTAAATTGGTAGCAGGCTATGTTTTAATTTTGATCCACCCATCAAATTAATAAGAATGTCTCTCAGGCACTAGGAATACACACAACACTGATATTAATAACAGACTTAAAAATTGGATATTTTTTGTTTTGTAGTTAATTCAGCGCAAAGATAAGGCCCAGTTTGACAGATATGCAGAACTTCTTTCTGAAGAGGAAAACAGGTGCCGTACATCACTACAATCAGTGACAATTCCTGCCTTGTTTTAAACCTTTAACTTTCAAGATCTGATTGTTAATCTCACTTCTAGCTGCTAAATAAGTTATGTTTTTGAGATGTGGACAGCAACCGAAAGAAAAATAAAACTAATTCTGGGGTGCTTTGACATCAATGGATTTACTGTAAAGTTGTTATATTAGCATTTTAATCCAAATTGTGCTGACCAAAAGGGTGTACCATCCTGTAGTAAGCACTAGGAATGAGAACTTTTAACTTCCGGCTGCCATCTATATCTAAAAAAATTATTGTTTGTGCTTAAAATAAGCTCCTACTCCTGACTGGACAGAGGTACTTTGAAAGTAAAGTGCCTTGTCCAAGAACACGTAACAATGATCTGCATCTCAAACCTGAACCTCTCGACAAGGGGTCCAGCATGGTAACCATTTGGTCACTTGGTCTCGTATGTGTCATGCTCGACCACTCTTGTAATTGGTACCAATTTATTCTTAACCATTGGCCACACAACAAGTACACAAAGGTGTTTAGAAGAACAAGCTTGCATTTGCATAAATTTTTAATGGTAATACAATCTTCTTGGTAATGAGTTCTTTTCCTTCATGGAAGGAAGTAAGATAAAGAAAAATATATATTAAAGCACAGTAAAATAATTTGGTTGCACCTTGTAGGTTTAGTGACTGAAGCTGCCACATGTACTTGTACAATGTTGATCAAAATGAAGGGATTTTCACCATCTCATACTTTCTTTTAGGAAGCAACTAAGGGACTACTTGAGTTCAGCGAAACTGCCATGTATTCCATATCTTGGTATGATGAAGAAAAATTGTATCATCAATTTTAACAGTTATGTTAATGTTTGGGCAATTCTAGACTAGCCCAGAACTTGCCATGGTACATTTACTGTGAACCTACTTGTAAGCCACTGTACAATACCTTACAGTGAGGCTTGTAGAAGTGGACTATCTGCATTTACTGTTTCCTATCAACTGTGTGCTTAGAAGGAGTGCTTGTCTATCCTCAAAAGAGCTTTGTGTCCATAGTCCTTCATGCTTTTAGACTATTTGATATTGTCAAATTGTAAGTACCATCAGTTATAGGGGTTTCCATTTGTTTACCTCAGGTATGTACCTGACAGATTTAACTTACATCGACACGATACATCCCAATACTGGAGGAATAGATGAGGCTAGAACTCACAAGGTATAGATAATATCTTACAATCAGCATTTATATTTTCCACACTGTTCTCTATACATTCCCCCAAAGTGCTGACAAGGAGAATTTGTCTTCACAATCAAGAGCTTCTTTAGTTGGTGATCATTTCCTTTAGTCTTGTGGCTGTAGTTTTGTGATACAGGGGTGATATTGGAAAGAATATCTTAGGTGTTAGTCACTTTTTGGGGTCAAAATGTTAACTTTAAATGATAAACTTGCTGTAACCAGTCAAACCTAAGTTGATCAAAACTTGATGCTCACGTTTTTGTGGGATTCAAAAACTTGGGATCATAAATTTTTTGGTGTACATGCTGATTTAGACATTCAAGGTGTTTGAAGGTAAAAGATTAGGGTTCATACTCTATACTTTGTGTTGCCAGAGAAGTTTCAGTTTAGAAGTTAAGACAGAGCTAATTAAAATTTCAAGACCAGGGTTCCCCTTTACAAAAAGCTTTAATTTGTTTTTATGTTATAGATGAATGATGTCATCAGACTGATCTCAGAATTCCAAAGGTCAACTTATGGTAAGTACATTTTGGATAAATTTTCAATAACTAACTTAAGAAAATTGGTTGTGGTGAGCCAATTCAAAATACAAGAAATAACTCCATATGTTAGGACTGTTTGTCCCTTCATGGCTCAATTAAAAGTGAGGAGAAGAGGCTAGAAGTTGTAGCACAAGCTGATTTTTTTCCCTTTGTTTCCAGATGACCTTGAGCCAGCAGCATACATTCAAACCTATCTAAGTTCTGTCAACTATATCGACGAACTGCAGAAGTTTATGGAGGATGACAACTACAAGTGAGCCTGCAAACTTTGTTCATGCACGCTGACACTGTGAAACCAGGGGACTATTGCTACTTGCCTTACAGTACATTTATTATGCAGTCTGGCCAAAGTCCCCGAAAAGTGTTGTGATGTGCATTTGATCATATCCACATTTTAATTTGCACAATATAAATATTAAATTATTATTATTATTATTATTATTATTATTATTATTATCATTATTATTATGCAGCAGTTTAAAACTTTTGTATGCTATATAGACGGGGCGCATGAGTGTAGCCCGTTAACTATAGTGAAATCAAAATCTATATACTGAGCAAAAAAAAAACCATCGAGAAATGAAAAAGATAAGCTATTTCTGGTATCCAAATCTAAAATAGTCATTATAAATTCTTTAAAAACCTATTACTTATTTCAGCTATGAAAGAGTTAATCAGTGACGATCACTTCCTAAGTTTCTAATAATCCACAGAATTTTTGAAAGCAAAAAGTTAAATAGTACGCGATTATCATTATTATTATTATTATTATTATTATTATTATTATTATTATTACTGGCCCCACACTGAAACATGCTTACTGACTGGACACAATGTATATTATCTGTTTTGTTGTGTTAGGTTGTCTCTTCAAATTGAGCCAAAAGCAAGTTCATCAAACCTGAATGGCAAAGCCTCATCCAGATCAAGAGAGAGCATTAGTGGTGAGTACAACTAGTACAGAGTGTTGTTCTTTCAGAGAGATATGACAGTTGTACATAATGCGTTTCATTAGTCTTGTTTTGCAAGCATGTTCAGTTGAAGATTTTAGTTTACGTGTACGAAGGTTTACTACAATGTAATAGTGATTTCCCTTGTAATCGCACCTTTGAAAAATAAGAAGAGGCAGGGTGAAGAAAATCCTGGCCATTTGGAGCCAGCTTGGCTTACTGAAATGGAAGCAGTTTGTTCAGAGCCAGGTCACTTTTTTTGGTTCTAAAGAGACTTCAGCATTTTCTCTCTTAAAAGAGCCCAGTGTTTTACCCTTCACTTCTGGTAAAAAATAATGATATTTCTTTCCCTAATTAGATCCGTAAAAATAACGCCAGCGTTTCCCTCGAACAACCAATCTCAAGTTATGGTTAATTTTCACGTATGCTACCATAAACTGTTCCCTATTTTCTTTTCAGTTATTCCAAGCAACTCTCCAGCCCCTCCAAAGGCAAAATTTGTTCGAGGACATAGAAAGGCGCACAGCTTAGGGACTAAGTAAGGCAAACCTTACAGTAGCTCTGTAACCCTCAACACCTTTGCATCAATATACATATTCTCCGTACCGATCTCTATATAAAGGGGGTAAGTTTCTAAAGAAACTGTGGTGCTGCGTCGGTGGGGTCAACAAGATAATTTCGTAATATCAGCTAAGTTGAAATTGTAACTTGGCCACCGTAATGAGTTAAAAAGCTGACGTTTCGAGGGTTAGCCCTTCGTCAGAGCGAACGAAGGGCTAACGCTCGAAACGTCAGCTTTTTAACTCTACGGTGGCCAATTTACAATTTTAACTTAGTTGATATTACCAAATTACGTTCTCGATATATTTCCTTTGTAATAACAAGGAGAATTTCTTTAACAACCAAGAGCTACTTCAGTTGGAGATCGTTATCTTTATTCTCATGACTAAATATTTGATCGAGCGGTGATACTAAAAGGAGAAGTTAAATGCTAGGCAATTGTTGATTGTGCAGTTTCGGTTGAACAGATCTGTTTTATTTTTCAGTGTGTTCAGTATTGTTGGAGGAGGTGGTTTATCTTCATCAGAGTCTCTGAGGTGAGTTCTCTACCATGACTCTGTTGAGTTAAAAGAGCCCTTTGCAATGAAGGGCTTGAGAAAAGCAAGACGCTTTTGGACTGAATGTCGTGAAACAAAAAGCAGAGTAATCCCAACAGCCAATCAGATGAAAGGAAAATACCTTAAAGAGCCAATGAAAACTCAATCAAGCCAATAAAAAAAAACAACAACAACAGCAACAACAAAAACAAACTGCCTAAAGCGCGGGAAAACGCAGTGACTAAGTTGAGATTGTTTTTAGTTTTGCATCTGATTGGCTGAGAGAGTGGCGCAAGCTTTCTGAACCAATCACAGAGCGAACCAAGGCAAAAACAATGCACTCCCAGTTTACTTTCGACACCTAATTGAAAATAGCTGTATGTCGAAACTGGTTTTGGTTTTGCATTTGACAGGTTTAGAGTGTGGTGCAAAAATTGTGAAAATTGTTTTCTGAAGTAAACATACTCTGAAAATACAGTCGTAGGGTGATTTGCCCAAGACTAGTGGTCTTTAACCGCTGTTTCACTCAACGTTTTCTTTGTTTTGTGTTGTGGAGGGGATCAGTGTAGGTGCAGATCAAATCGTAATGATCTAACATGTCATTGATAAATTTCCAGCTGTAGTATAGCAAGCAGCACAGGATCAAAGAATCTCCTGGATGACAGTGAGCCTTTCGACGATAGGTCTTCTTTGGGTGAGTACTGTACCCCTTGCATTTAAATCCCTTAGGAGGAACATTTATACCCTCGTTAGAGTAATCGCAGGAGCTTAGTTGGAAATTATCTCGGTCAGAGAAGGCAAATCAAATAGCGGACGAGCGAACATCAGAGGTGTCCTGGGAAGGAGTGTTCTAGAATGTGAGTGCACGGAACAGATTAACCCTTCACACGCCAACATAAGTGTGACTGTTCTCCATGCTGTTCTATGAACATTTCCCATGATACTGGTACTTTTTTAGTTTTGCTGTGTTTGCATGGATGATCAAAATCTTGGTAGTTTTGGAATGCAAACAATGGAATATTTATCAGTTGATTTAGAAAGATGTCAGAAGCGCGCATTGCGTATAATTTTCCCTGATAAAGAATATGACGAGGCGCTATCGTGCACTGGGCTTATCTCGCTGCATGAGCGGCGCGAGAATATTGCCAACAAGCTCTTTTCTAACGTTCTTGTACCAAATCACAAGCTGCATAAGCTCCTGCCGCCCAGGAATGTATATAGGGTGGACTTAAGGAAAAAGCGCGCTTTTAATTTACCTGTGGTTCGTACGAACAGGTACCATGATAGTTTTATCTTTCATCATTTACGCACGCTTTGTATAAGCTGACTCTATCTATGTTACCTAATTTTTAATATTTTAAAAGTATGTTACCATTTTTATATATTTCTTAAATTTGTAAATGAATACGTAATTCAACCTTCGGTTGCAATGTGTTTCAAATAAACTATCCATCTATCTATCTATCCACCTGGAATAAATTCAAACGAAGAGAATAAACTTGTTTTGGAGCTACATGCAAGATCCGCTTCGGTTTTTCTTAGATTTAAATCATGTAATGCCGGTACTTTCGAGAAACGAGCCCCTAATCACTCCGAATCAATCGCCAAGCAGGTTTTTTTCGGGGAGGGTGGAACTGAATCAGGAAGGCATCTTGGACAAAACAGTCTTTAATTGACCTACTTGTATGTCAAATACTCGTTCTTGTAGGAAACTTGACGCCTTCAGACATAGCTTTGGACAGCCGAAGGTGAGTGCACCTCTTGGTTTACACAATCCTTAAGGGAATTAAGCGATACACTGAAGTGTTCTCGCGATTTTCTGGTCGCTTTAATGATGATTAAGCTTCATTCGTCAAACGCTCTTGACCCGCCCCCTAGCGCAAATCCGCAATTGCGGAGGGAAATTAGGCCGGCAAGGAAAAAGCAAATTTAAGTGAAAACCTACACTTTCTACAGGCTGATACACGTAGACTAAATCTTTGTTCAAATCATTCTGACGGCGGCGTCTTTACATTTATTATTCACGTGGTGCATGTTACTTTATTTTATAGTATGATTAGTTACAATGGCAGTGAGGACTACAATCTGTGTCCACCAGATCGAGAGTTTGTTATTGAAGGTTTTGTCAAAAGAAAGAAATGTCTAAAGGAAGGCAAGAAGATGACGGTGAGTGTAGTTGAAGTTTACCTTACGGGTTGTAGTATAACTTGTCCGATCGCAAACCACCACGGAAACGGATACAGAACGCGGTGAAACATAATATTTCATGAGTAGCGCCTAGTTTTTAAGGGGCGGATGACGCAATCCAGTGGATACATCAGTATCGAACGGATACATCGGTATCCAGCGGATAAGTATTAACAAAGTATACTGCGCTATCCACCGGAGAGAGATTTATCAGTGGATAGCCTTTCTATCTGGAACTGAACGCTGCTTTCATATGGTAAGCTGATGGTGAGGTGTGGTGCCGTTACAGACGGTAAATACATCCAGCCATTTGCGAAATTCTCTAGGAAAGACAAAGTCATTTGGGAATTTATATTGTCCTTACGTTTCCTTCCTGATTGCTTACGAATGGCTATACTTCATGTAATCGCATTCTTAATTGTAAGAACTGACTGGGTCCGTGTTAGCTAAGACCCACAATTTCTCAAGATATCGATTATTTAAGCGGGTGGGTTTTTCCTTTGATTGTAGGTGTCGTCATGGCAGAAATTCTGGGCAGGACTTGTCGGAAGCTGGCTTCACCTTTTCCTTCCCCGACATAGAACCTTCACTAGGCGGGACAGAGCTGCTGTATGTACCTATCCCAGCTGTGAATAAAATAGGCGTTAGTTTGGCTGTCTTAGAGAAGGAAAATGCAAGGAACGAGGCCACCAAAACTAGAACTTCTGCATAGATAAGCAGTAGGTCATCGAGGATTATTGTATTCGTTAACGATCGATCGTCCAGGTATGAGAAGTTGAGAGAAGGACTGTTGTCGGCGGCACTGACTTACGTTTCGCGGCTGTAACAAAAGCCATATTCATTTCGGTTTTGAAACCATTTACTGAAAAAGATTTTAAAGAATATCTTATTTTCCGTTCCGATAGTACTTACCTTCCATGATTTTATTGTTTGGTTGAACCTAAATTTTGTTTCTTTTTTGAGCAGTTTAAAGAAAAGCCCGAGAAAAAGGTGAACATTTCTGATTTCTCGGTTGTGTTGCTGGAAGATCCGCGCCATCCGGATACTTTTCAACTTACTGATGACAAAAAAGGTGCAGTACCTGTTTGCAATGTTTTTTTGTTTGTTTGTTTTTTTAGTCTTAGTGAGATGTAAAATAGTTAATGTCACGCCTGTTCCCACCTTTATCACTGTTTCGAAGATGAAGATTAGATGTCGGTTAGTATATGGTACACGAAATTTCAAAGGTAGAGAAGTAACTGTGGCAATGACTATGGCTCCGCTAGAACATGATTTCCTTTCATTGAGTCAGTACAGTGGAAATTTTTTATGGCAGATAAAAACTCCACCGCAATTCGCTTTTTTTATATGTACATGATCACGTTTGGCATAAGCGTACACTCTCTACTTTAAAACACTCTTGGAACTTGAATTATTGTCTCAAATCTTCAAATACCAAACCGAAAAAAAAGAAACAAAAAGCTCACAATCGATGTACATATTTAAGTTCACAATCGATGTACGTATATAAGCTCACAATCGATGTACGCATATAAGCTCACAATCGATGTACGCATATAAGCTCACAATCGATGTACATATATAAGCTTACAATCGATATACGTATATAAGCTCCCAATCGATGTACATATATAAGCTCAAAATCGATGTACATATATAAGCTCACAAGCGATGTACGTATATAAGCTCACAATCGATGTACGTATATAAGCTCACAATCGATGTACGTGTATGTATGTTCTCAGGAAACTCTTACAAGTTCAAGGTGGGATCCAAAGCAAATGCATCGATGTGGTACTCTTACTTACGAGGGGCTGCAAAACCTAGACAGGAACACAAGGTCAGTCATTGTGTGCTCTTTGTCATTTACTTGCTATCCTTTGTTCTATGTTAGTCAGGGAACGAACTGAAGCCAGGGGCGAATGCTGGTGTTTTCCATTTTTGTGTTTCTGGTATTTAGGGGCACGCCAAGTTATTCAATAGGGGAATCCTTGTTTACAATATTTGCCTCGTTAGCCTAAGCAATTCAGTTTCTGATGAAGCTAAAAATAAATTAGTTCTGAATATCGAAAGGTCAAAGTACGATTAACTCGGCCAATGAATACGAGCCTGATGCATTGAATACTTTTTGTGCAACACGGGTTTAAAAACTCAAAATTTTACATAGAATGTATGAGCTCATTAGCGCTTTTGCCACCCAGAAGTTTTGCAGTTTTTGATGGACTATTTCTCCTTGAATATTACACCCAAAGAGCTAAAAATTTCACCATGTACTAAGGTTTTCTAGCCTTTAGCTGCCTGAAGTCAATTTGTATCTAACATGCCTCCTTTACGCAAAGCCGTGTGCAAATGAGCAAAAATGTAAACAGTGACGTCAGCATGAATCCACCTATAGGCAGTACGCATATCAATTCCCTCAGAATTTTCTCTACTTACTTTTTCTTCGGCTAATGTAGCCACGCCCAGTGTAGCCAAAACCGAATAGTCAATTTCACAGCCAAACACAGTCAGTCCTAACTCAGGCTTCGATTTGAGAAGTAGTGCTGACTTTTACAGTGGTTGTCGGATCCTTTTTATTGTGGTTATTGTTATTTCTTTGGTAAATGTTTTTGGTTTTAGATTAATATGTTTTTGCAACTTTTCTATTAGGTTCCACAGAATCTAATCACCTTCGAGGAAAGTGAAGAGAATCAAAGCTAACGAAGCTTACGGGATTGAAATTAATCAACACTTCGACGCAGTACGAAAGGTCAAAGGATCGTCTTTGAGTTAGACTAGCTGAACAACGACAATCAAAAGAAACATGATCCCAGACAGTTACTAATGACTTGCTGTGAGCAGTGCGTTGCAGTAGCCAATCAAAACGGCAGACAGCAAGTCACGTGGTACCTCCTGATACCCCAAATATGGTGAACTTTGTGTGACGTATCCCAGTGAAGGGATGTTTTCTTACCAAGGACGAAGCTGACTGCTATGACTGTTGACTAAGTTAGGATAAGTGTGGTGGTTTTTATTTTCTAAAAGTAGAAAGTTTGCGTTTCATGGCAAAATGTTTTCATTGATATGTTTTATATGAGCTAGCTTGCGCAAAGAGTTGGGCAGTCAGAAAGCGCTAAGATTTTTGTTTTTATAAACTAATTTAAGTATAAATTACATTATTTAATATTTGATAACGGAAAAATATTGCCCAAAGAATCACTTTTTATCATATTGAGATTGAAGCTAGGCAGTGGTTCGTGCTGCTGAAAGCATTCTGTGTTATTTCAATCTACTTTTTGTTGAACTTTTAGCCGAATTTTGTGCACTATGGCGTCGAAGGTAAATTTCAGCCCCTAACTTCTATATTGTTTCTTAAGAACCCGAAAATACCAACCTGGACAGCTCACAATTCGATGTTCGCTAAGTTTAATTTAACAAGATGCGGCGTCGTTGTCGTGTTCAACAAGGTAATTAAAACGCAAGAAATTTTTTATAAATATTTCAGAAGATTCCCAAGAAGTATTCGACAGTTATTAACTGATTGACAGAAGCCTGCTTAAGTCCATGACTTCGAATTAAGCTTTTATATTAGATTTCCATTTTATTGAACGTTACCGTTCTAATTTTTTATCGAGCAAGCAATAGTTTATTACTTTTTTTTCTTTTTCCTTGGACTTGAGACGCAAGAGGCTATTTATTATGCAACGTCATGTCAACTTTTCTATTTGATTTTACCAATGGATACAAAGCTATGGCGAGATATTTCAAATGGAGTTATTTTGTAAGAACCTTCTTTATGCGAATAACAACGAATTTTGTTAATCCGCCAAAAACCGGCAAGAGGGTTTTGTTAGTTTTATACGTTGAGGAAGGATAACTAAAGCAATAGAGCGGTTTTTTGTCTGGGTGACGTAAAACTCACCCAGTCAAAACATCGTGAAGGCTATCGTTCTTATGTTATGTTTTGTTGAAGAATGGGGACGATGAACGCTGATCCCATTATCTAAGTGAAGACTAATTGACTAATTTTACTCAGGCTCTTGGGCGAAAATAAAGATTTAGTTGAAAAAAGAAAGTTTTAAATCACAGGTTTGGTTTTAAAATTTTGGAAAAATTACGTGGTGTCATTGAGTTTAAGAACTCGTTTTAAGGCCACCGTAAAGTAAGACGAGTTCTAAAATAATGTGTAGTGCGGAGGTTCCAAACATCAGCGATTTACCGTCACACAACGCACACACCTACAAAAAAAAAAAAAAAACGCCTTTGGTGGTATGTGGCGACAATCATCCCCCAATTTGAGGGTTTCGTCATTTTGGCGACCTTGTTTCCTCAAGCGTTCTCTCCGTTAGTGATGTAATTCTCAGCGTGGGCAGGTTCCGGTTATTCACCTTCATCTCGGATGCCAGGAACTTGTCACCCAAACGTGGGTTTTTTTTGTGGAAATGTTGGTGGGGTGTTTAAAACCTTTTGATAAACACGAGGAAGTCGTAGTTGACTTTTCTCGCGAATCTGATCGGTTGAGGGAATGACACGTGTATTTTAAGATCAGTTACTAGGCGAAGTAAAGAAAACCCATCGTAATCACTGATTATTTCCAACAGTAAGTGAGAAAAAATACCCCTATCATCCAACGTGGGAAGTAAACTATCTTGCTTCGACACAAACACGAACCGTTACATCCACTCAGTTTATTTCTTTAGTTTTTTTTTACTTTAATACATTACAAACTTTGTCCATCGACAATATCTGCTCGACGAGTTCTACAACAAGTACAGGATTTCATGTGTATAAAAACTACGGTGACATAAACTATACAAGGTAGTTACCATATTCTCTAATCAAGATCTGAAATAGGCACGATAAACAGCCGCTCTTCGGAAGAAATCGAGCCTAAATGCATGGTGTGAGAGATAGCATGACTTTAATAGTTTCACTGAAAAGGTACCTTAAATAATGTGGAAAATGTGGAAAGCACTTGAGCGATTTAATCGTATCATCTGACGGGTCAAAAATTTTTATTCGTTTGGTGGAAGACAATACACATTAAAGACCCAGTACTAAAAAAAGACATAGAAATATCTCTTTGCAAGGCCCTCAAGTACGGTCAGTCCTAATTTTCTGGTGTTCATCGAGGTAAGTTATTTCGCAGGTTTCACGAAAGTATTCCCCGACGGAGCGCTGAAATCACGAGGGACGGAGACTGGTGTCGAGGTGCCAAAAGAAGAACTATCGGGGTGGGGCATAGGAATACTTGACTTCTTGATATTAATAAATTTCGTGTCCATAACTTGACAGTCGATTTGCATCATGGTGACTAAGTCAGTTTTCCTGGCGTTATTACGCTGCCACTCCGTTCCTTGAATTAAAAGCAAAGCAGAGACAACGTTCAGACCGTCTTCAAACAAGGTAGTCGTAATTTCAAATGCAACAGAGATTCGATAGCGAGACCTACAATTCTGGAAGGGTGACACTGCTCTGGGTGTGTGAAAGGAAGTTGCCTCTCAGTAGGATTCCTTCCCAAGCCGACGTGTACCCTACCCCCCTCCCCCCCCCCCGACGAGAAACGGTGCCCTCCCTTCCGTTTCTCCTCGGGAGGAGGATATGGCTACACGAAGGCTATCCCTTCCTTCCCCTCTATACCTCGCCCTACAGACTATTCTGTAAAAGGAACGGGATTCAGTGATGGCATTGCTTAAAGCCTGAGCTAATCCGAGAGCACAGCGGGGCAGGGGTAGGAGTAGATGAGCACGTTGGGTGTGCAGCCAAAAATATGACATAAAGACGATTCCAACTTACTGTTAGGTGGCGCCATAATCATGAATGACATCTTAGGCCTTTGTGTTGCGTTGTACTCGGTGGCAGGAAATACCAAATGATCCTGAGAGAAAAAAAAATCAATAAAAGAGTCTCTCGCTGGCGCAGTCGCAATTATCCGAAGATAAAGCAAACGTATCCTCGCAGTAGATAGCGCTATTTATGCAATAGCGAAAATCAGACCTGAAAAAAATTTGGCCTGTACGGGATTCGAGCCACTGACCTCTGCGATACTAGTGCAGCGCTCTACCAATTGAGCTAACAAGCCAACTGGGAGCAGGCCGTTAAGTTGATTCGTAATAAACCCGTGAAAGTGATAAATGAGATACTATGAATATATGAAGTTCATATATTTTGAACTGCGGTATTAGATACGTATGGTGCACGATCCTCCCAGTAGATAGCGATATTTATGCAATAGCAATAGCGCTATCTACTGCGAGGATCGTGCACCATACGTATCTAATACCGCAGTTCGAAATATATGAACTTCATATATTCATAGTATCTCATAAAGCAAACGATTAAAATTCTTAAATGGAGAAATAGACCTTACGGAGAAAGGATAAGAGCACTCACCCCTCGAAAAGAAACTATGTACAAAGTATCTGATTTCTTGTTAATTTCCTCCTCAAACGTTTTGAATCTGAAACGGCAGAAAAATATTTCAGTTTTCCCAAAAAAAAAAATAATAATAAAGTACACAAAAAATGAAGACTTTGATTCTTGACCCTAAAGAAAAGCCTGAACTTACTTATCGGCTCTTTGGAATAGCTGCACTGCATGTGTTGAAGCAGTATTATGTTTCCGCAAAAACTTGTGCCTGGAGCAGAAACAAAACATCAAGTTAGCGCTCCATCGCCAAATACGTCGCGAAATAATCATCAATCAATGTGTACATTGTCTGCAAACAGAACCAAATTCTCAGAAATATCCGAAAAAGGCTGAAATTTATGGTCACCACAGTAAATTTTCAAGATCTGACAGTGAATTAGAACCCAATGGGTCATACACTTCTGCCATTTGGATAGTGTCAATTCCCATTACTTTTTGCAGAAATGTAAGGAATGAACCAGTCCTAACTCCTATTTTCATCCAGAACGAAGATTGGACATGTGCCAATCGTCTCACTTAAAATACAATGAATACTACGCACTACAGGCCATAAGTATGCACACGCGCATGAAGGCAATATTGGAGAAAAGGAAGGCCTCCACAGGATCTAAATCACAGCCCCTTTATCAAAAAACGTGTACTCAAAATAATGAAACATTTTGGTATGCCGTACCCTGCGCACTTTCCTAGGAAGACCGTAGGGACCTCTGCTTTCAGGGTAGGTACACCTGTATGCCTCAAGCACTAGTGAAGGAACCCCTCTACTGAAATTCCCTTGTTACAACTTTGCAGACTTATTGTAACTAACCTGCTTATTTTTCGCTTGGCCTCTGTTGTGCAGTTTGATGTCAGTCTCAAGGCAAGCTCTTTGATGGCAGATTGCATCTAAAATGAAACATAGAGCACACAATTAAATTAACGTTCTCCTTGGTAAGTCTTTTGGAAGCACAGGTCTGAGTGACTTATAGACAGTACAGGTCACAGGAATGGCAACATTACACGCGTGTTTCATGCGTGTAAATCTGCCATATTGCGCGGAAATTACACGCAAATTAGGCGCGCGTGACGCACGAGTAAAAAAAAAATACACGAAAATGCATGCAAAAAATTACACGTACCAACCTAGAGAGACATAACAAGAAATAAGAGAGCAAGTTGAGTTAATACTGACAAGAATGCTTTTGATTTACAAGTTAGAGCGAGAAGACAAATGCTCATTTTTTAAAAGTTCTGCAACAGCACTTTAAAATATTACCTTAGTCTGCCGACGCCTTTGTTTTTTCTGTTTTAAGATCTGCTGATTTTCATATCTCCTTACCCAACCTACAAGAGCCTCGTTTATCCTAAGAGAAAAACAAAATGTAGTATTGCGAAGAAACATGTCAAATAGGTCCTCATGTGCAGTTCTGTCAATTCCAACAACTGATTACTCCTACAGCTTTGTTGGCTCTGCATCTCATACAACAAGATCGAGGTCGAGCGAAAGAACCTGCACCTTGAGTGACCCGGTATGGGTACAGCCAATCCCAACGTTCATTCTCACTCCAGTATTGGCAAGGTCGCGTATTGCAAGAGAAAAACAATTTGAATATACCAGAACAATGCAATATTACTGTATAGTTTTGGTCTGAACTGAGAACGAAAAGGGCAACAGGGAAGAACAGGTATTACATCAAGAGAGCTGAGTGAGGAATTTTGTGCCCAAATGATGCTCTTCTCCCTCAAGACATTCCCTTCCCTCGACACTCCTTTCTCCTGACCAAAAATTTTGAAACTTTGCACACACTGAAAAGTAAGCATTTACAGAGGAAATACCATTAAATTTACGAACCTGTTCACTTCAGTCTTGTTTAAATTACTTGGGCAGTAAAATTGATCATCATCCAATGTTGCATTATGTTGTTTCTCAGCAATCTTTCTCCTTAACTTAGGATTCCTTTCGTTTCGTTTTGTATTCCTTCTCTTCTGCCTCGAATCACCAAGGAAGTCCCACTTGTTCCTAATCACCATTAAGTCCTTTCTCTCTACATTTCTACTCTTGAGCAGTGAAGACTTCTTGTGAGAAGTGTTGAGCATGCTAGGGTGAGCCTTGGCAAATGGTTTTCTTTCACGACGTTGATTGAAAGGGCTAAACGCTATTGGTTTATCAATGTCACTCACATCCCCATCTCCTTGGTAATTAAGAAGGGCTCTTCCATGACGGACAACTGAGCCTGGTAGCAGATCTGCTTTGTTAAATTTCCACTGTTCCTTAAGGTTGCTGTCAGTGTCATAGAACAAAGTTTGGAAGTGAGGAATTCATAGGCTGTGCTTGCAACTTGATATGGGAGGGATTTAATTCAGTTTAACCCAGTCGTTCCCAAGATCATTTTGAACAATTCTCCCTACTGTCTGTCATACAATCCTTATGCTGCTAGTTCGGAGAAATTGGTATTGGATCAACCAACTAACAATCCCTTAACGTATACTTTTGTTTTTTCTCGTTACTTGTCTGCTTGATACAGCATTGATATGTAAGGAGAAATTCTCTCTGAGAGGATGTAAGTTGCATCAGAATGTTATGGTGTTGCATCATAAAAACACCAAGGCCTTAACCAAAACAATTATAGTAAAACAATAAAAACACTAATGTGGCCTTGAATTACTGTAAACTATTGTAAAAAAATATTGTAAAATATTATAAAATATTGTAGAAGTCAGAGCTTTCGCTGCTCAATGGCATCATCAGGGATAAATAAGATAAAATATTCCACGACGACTGAAAAAAAGGGAGAAAAGTGTCACTATACTAATGTGCTAGTGTCACTGTGAGGGGATCCAGTGTGATATATTGGAAGGTGTTAGAAAAATAGGTCTGCGAATTCAATGCATTCTTCTTGGGAGTTAAGTGCAGTTTGTTTTTCCCTTTTCCTACATATTAAGGAATATTTTATCTTATCTGTCCCTGATGATGCCGTTGAGCAGCAAAAGCTCAGACTTCTACAATATTTTATAATATTTTACAATATTTTACAATATTTTACAATATTTTGCAATAGTTTACAGAAACCTCGGACTTTTACAAAATTTTTATAATATTTTACAAGATTTTACAATAGTTTACAGTAATTCAAGGTCATAATTAGTGTTTTTATTGTTTTACCCAAAAATGTTACTGAAAGAGAACATTCAAAGATTGATGAAACAATAGTCAATTCTGATCACCAACACACTGAAAAATGTATTGATATTAAAGGGCAAAATCACATATCTACTGCCTCTGGAACACACGTGTTCAAAGGAAAAGTCATTGAGTACCCCTAGAGGTGTTAAAAAGTCAAAAGCAATCAATTATACATACTGATAAATAAAGAGAAAAGTAAGTGAAATGTTATCACTTATCACTAAGTACTTACCTGAAAGGACCAACGTTTAGAGCAACAAACAGAACAACAGCTAAAACACACGTGGATTTCTTAATGGTGCTGGTCAACTCTGGGTGTTTGCTACGCAACAGTGCATTCTTTTTAAGAAACACAAATTGAAACAATACATTAAAAAGTGACACATTCAGGGCTCAACACTAAGAGTAGCCAACTTAAGCCACAGACTAGTAGAAATTCAGGTTTGGCTAGTGGTTTTCAATTTCCACTGGCCAGTTTGGCTAGCAAACAAACTGAAATTGTCATAACATCTAAGATGTCACTAGTAAGTTGAAAAGTTAGTATCAAGCCCTGACATTCACAATTTTTTTTGATGCACTGTATAGTGTCAGCTATGGAGGTACCACTGTGTAGCCATAACAAATATTGCTCTCTTTTTCTCATGAATGTATAAATGAACATGTATACATGACTAGCATATAATTTACTATAACAGTACTGTACCATTCTGTACAAGTTTTAATGCTTCATGTCCCAGATGTGATGTGCATGTAAGGAAGATATGTTAACCACCAGGTAGTGAACTGTTTAAAAATGTTCTAACCTCTACTTCCAGTTCATTGACTCTTCTTTTTAAGCCTTCATTTTGTGCTCGTAATGATTCATTTATGTTTGAGATCTCCTTTACTTTACTTTCAAGGCTTTGCAGGTACTATGAAGAGAACAGCATGAACATGTCACAAGTTAGTACATGTCACATGGCAAAAATGATCAAGTGTGTCCAATGGTTTTTTCATATGTCACCTAGCTTACAACATGACACATCGTTTACTATTCATCATCAATCTTTCTACTTTGTTTTGAAAAATAGCTTTTGATGGCATCCACAGACGACACAGGCATGACATATTTAATAATATATGGAAAAGCTCAACAATAAACAATTTTGCCTTCTTCAGCTGTTCAGTGATTCACAGGCTCAGTTTGTTATGAGTAAAAAAAAAGAAATCTCTTCATTCATTTGATGCCTATCATTTCATCAAATAATGACTCAGCATAGCTCTGAATCTTCTCACCTCTTTCTTCTTCTTTCTGGATAAGCATGCAGATTCTCTGTTTTTTATCATTCTCTGTTGCCTTTTCAAAATTTTTGCCTACAAAAGGAAAATGCATCAATTGGATTAAAACCTTACACAGCACTGAATGGTACAGGATGCAAATACACAAGTTTCGAGTGTGCACACTATGCAATCTCAGAGCAAATGTACATGGAGTAACAAAACTGTACAGGGTACCTTTTAATTAATAATTAAACAAATTATGCAAAAGAAGATATTTCTCTCTGATTTTGCACTACACAGTCAGGCAAAGGGCTTGAAAACTAAGCAGACTTCAGACTTGACATCATGATGATAACTGCAATATCAGCTGCAGATAATGGGTTATCATGTCAACTTCACATGCTATCGTTGAATTACCTGAACTGATCAGGTTTTTTATTCAAAGTCTGATGTATAACATTGTGCCAATTACCACATTTGATGTGTGTATTCCATAAAACTGGTCAAATTATCAAATGAATGCATAACATAGAATAATATGCTGTATCAGAGTTGACAGAAAAAGTACTTACATCTGTTTCTGGAGAGGTGGTACTTGACTTTGTAATGCCAACATTCACTGGTTTGGTTAATGCAGAATTAACATTCTTCTAAAGAGGAGTGAAAAAAATGAAAAGACAAACAAATATTGAACACACATTACATCATACATTCAGACTTACCATCTTTCTTATTCTATTAACAAAAATTAATATGATGCTGTTGAAATTGCTGACCCTAGCAGTATGCACGATGCGTGTTATATTTGAACTTTGCAAATGGGCCTTGCTCACCATGGAGTCTCTGTGACTCTGTGCTACAATGGTGGCTCTAAGAACATAATCCAAAGGTCTGAGGTTCGATCCCTCATGGAGCTCAGAATTTTTTCTTTATTCCTTGCTCGTGACAAGATGAAAAACATCTTTCTCTGTTTCTTCACTGAGCTCAAAACTTACCATCTTTCTTATTTTATTTACAAAGCATTGAACACACATGTACATGTATGTGTTAATTGCACATAAACCTGAACTGCTGCAAAGGCAGTAACTGTTGTTTTTAAAGTTGTTTTTTTAACTCCAGAAATTGAAAATAAAAAGTAAACATCTCATCACTAAACTGGACAAAATTTGAGACATTGAAAAAAATAAATAACAAAGTTAAAACATTGTACTTACCCCAACTACAACTGAAACTACACCATTGCTCGGTAGTGAACCAGTACAAGGAATATATACTGGAATACCTACGAAAAATGAAGGTTACATCATTTTATGTCAAGATACTTCAAGAAAAATGATGTGAAATTACTGGAATCAGGGCTTTCAATAAGAATAAATTAAAGTAGTGGAGAAATAAGAAAAAGTACATGTATAAGTAGATGGCCAAGTTATCGTGATGTCATGTTGTTGTATTCAGTTCAAATTACTACCAGGTACATGCAAAATTTTGAACATGGAATTGATTCACACATTTAAACCTGTAACTCAGTTAAAAAATGCATCCAATTCCATCCAAGACATAAAAATGGCTGTGACACAGATGTCTTCCAATTGTTGTTAGTATGAATTGTAAGACTTTTCATTATCAATTATCAATCATTATCATCATGGTAAAATGAGGTGAAAGTAAAGGGCTAAAAAAAGGCAGACTGGCTAGCAGTGTTGGCCTGTTACGGGCCCTTCTTAACAACTTTGTCACTGAAGTGAGAAAACTTCTATAAAATTGAGTTTGTAGCCACACATAACTCTAAAATATACCTCCAGCAGGTTTAGTTGTAGCATGTCCAATCTGTGCGTTCTGGATACCGACAGGTACAGCCGTGACCACTGGCATGGGCTGGATGGATTTGACGCCACATGACTGCATGGGTATTTTCTCCTGTTTGACATTGCATGCAAGTGGTGCGAGAGTTGCTTCCGTCTTAATGCAAGAAGGACTAGCAGGGAGTAAGCTTGTCTGCGATAAATCAAACTCTGCATTTGGCTGATGCACTGGTGAACTCTCCCCATTAATTAAAAACTGAAAGAACAAATGCAGATACTTTATGTCAGCCAATAACTATACAATAAGCTTGTAAATAAATCATTCATGATTTATTTACAAAGCCTATGAGAATAGGCTTTCTGTTTTTTAACAAATAGATTACATGTTGCCAGTTGTCTGTTCAGTAAATTCTAGATCACAGATGATATCAAAACTTGATAAGAACAAAAAAAGGGGAAAAGGATGCATGCAAGTGTGTTACTGATGTTTTCACTGTCTTCTGTGATCTATTATTTTCACAGACCCTTGACACCACGAGTCCATTTTTTTTAGACAAATATTATGTTCTTAATGATTAAAAAGTAAGCTGTTGTTGATGGCAACATCACCTATTCACATGCACAAAAATAGCTCATAAGTAACAACCGCTCAAAACGCATGTAGTCTTCAATTTATCTTAAAGTCTCTATTCACCCTCAGAGGTTTCTATATATTTTGATTCCTTGCGTTATCAGGATTAATCTCCAAACAAAAATTCTTGTGATTGATTAAATATTTCCCTAGATATGCTGCCTCAAAGTTACTCTTTTGGCTATGCCCTTTTTTGACTTGGCCGGGAGAGAATTACCGGGCCGAGTGACATCACAGCAAGAACGAATGTTAACTTCTTGTATAAGAACATGTGTCCATTGCTGCAAAATGGTGTGAAAATGCCAACTCGTTGCGTGGTCGCTGGTTGCTCAAATACACCAGATTCGTCCAAAGGCATATTCAAGTGAATGTAGGCACATCGATCGAAAGACATTCTTGCTGTGACGTCATGAGGGACTTTTAGTTACCAGTATTGACTTGGCCTGGCCAAATCAAAAGGGCGTGGCCAAAGGATGAACTTTGAAGCAGCATATCTTGGGAAATATTTAATCGATCAAAAAAAATTTTGGAAGATTAATCCTGATAAGGCAAAGAATCAAAATATATAGAAACCTCTGAGGCTGAATAGGGACCTTAAAAACTATGGCATGATAGTGGTTAATACATTATTAAAGCTACATGAACCACTGCAATACACAATTATAATTATTATAAGTATTCATTTCTCCTTCTTTCAAAATATTCACAGCTGTTAGACTGAATTTAAAGCAACTCCTATCTTTCCACTGTTCATAGAACAATGAGCTGCACAGCACTACAGGGTAAAAACAGCCTCTAGCTATACTGATACAGTGGCCGAGGAAGACAAAAATAAAGAAAAGAAGTTATTTCCGTTCATGAAATTGTTTGCTTCAGTTTGACTTTTGCATAGAAATACAACAGTCTAACACTTTTTGAATTGAATCAATCACCTACTTCTTAATTTGCATCAACCAGAGGAAATCATCATAGACAATCGACAACAAAAAATACAACTAACTGCACTGTGAATACATGATTCATCTCGAATAACAGAAGGAATTTTGCACAAACTATGTATATGTACTTATTTGATATTTTGGTTTAATTTATACATGTAGCTGATGAATTTTTTTTAATACCTGATTTTCTGGTGAACTTGGAAGAGACACGCAAGACGAGTTTGAGGAGGAAGGAGACAGGGGTTCTTCTTTAATGCAAACACCTGTTGAATGACAGAAATGACCATTAAAAAGACGCTGTTTAAATGGAGCAAAAATAATGGGTGAATGGGGCTGAACAAATAAGAGAAAAAATCCCACTACGAAGAACAGAGTACTAGTTGAGAGGGAAACTAGAACTTGATACTCACCAGATGGAAAATCGAAATCTTCAATAATCGAAGAGGAAGAAGAATCGCCCAAACTTGATAGAAATTCACTCAGGTGATCTCCTTTGCCCTTCAAAGAAATAAACAACAAAACATGCTTCATTAAAATTTTAAGAAATATCGCACCCACACATTAATCTAACGCTACAAAATACATTTAACTAAATTTTTTAAACAATTTTTACTTGTGAATAAATTTACACGGATTTTCTTTCGATTTATTAGGCCCCAAAAACTCAGCCGAGTTAGCATCAATTAAAATACTTCAGAAAGATGACCGTCGTCTAGGAGTTGTATTTTAACGGCAAAATGACAATGAGCTTTGTCTTTGAATCTGTGATCCAACACATGGTATCTAGATGTCAGATAATGCCATGAAGAAGTGGTTTACAACAAAGAAAGTTGTGGAAAGAAACCAAAATGTCCTACATGAGATGTAGCTATTAATAAAAGTGTCAGTTACATGCGATATTCATGAAGAGTTTTAAACAGCTGGCTTCATTTGTTCGCATAAAAATTGAAATTGTTTTGAATCTTCTTGGCAAATATTGCAAAGTCTTCTTAGAATATAAAAAGAACGACATCGCTCTAATATTTGCATCGCTACCGATGCACAAATTGAAAGATATCGAGATTGTTCCATTCGACTTCCTTTAGTATTTCTTGCGGAAGTTGTACGATGCGACGCGATCTCAAGTTTCAGAGACCTCAAAACAAACAGCTTCTCACGAAATCTCTAAACACAAAGCGGCTGAATTATATAGTATTCGTCTTTAACAAGCAAAGAAAAAGTTTTTTAAGGCTCGAAAGAAAAAGGAATGCACGAAACGCGGGTTTCAACCCAAGCCGATTCATGCACGAGTGACTCACGCAACTGCAGTGGTTAGCAACAGAGATAAAATAAGGGTGAATTTTCGTAGAATTTATTCCCTTACCTCTAAATCCATATCATCATCTTCACCCCCACCAAATAAGTCATCTGGGTTAAATTTCACATCTGTGATAGAGTCTCCTAAAAAAGAGCAAATCATCACCCCGTTAAAATACGAGCGAAGCAGAGATAGTTCCCGACAATAAGCTTTCAGAAATCTTGCAACAAGCTCACCCCAATCTTCAACTCCTAGTAGATTGTCGGCAAAAAATTTCGTGTCCGGCTCCGACCAGGCTAAAAGTTCTGTCTGAGACATCATCTTTTACAGTATATAAAACCCCAACACCAAACTAAAGTACAATACAAAACCCGAGATGTAAAACAAAAATTCGTTCAAACCAGCGAAGACTGATTCATCACTTATGAAATACCAGTTTCTCGTACCCAGATTTCCCTCGGACACCAAAATGTGACGCGTGAAGAGTTCTGGGATCGAATACGTTGCGTAACTCACCGCATTTCCTGGACTCGTCTAGGCAGCATAACAGTCTAGCGACCCTCTCGAACTCCTTTCTTACTTTTTTAAGCAGTAGAGGGGAAAATTTTTTTTCCACTTTGTTAACAACTCCTTAAGCTTCAAAAACAGCGGAATGAGCAGGAGAATGGCCTGTTTTCACTGTCACATCAGAACCATTCATCAGAACCATTCAACAGAGTCAAGAATCAAAGAGATGAAAGGAGATGTGAATATTCAAACAGTCTCGTAGAGATTCAGGCCTGTGTGTTGTTTCTTGATGGAGATATCCGAAGAAATGTTTAAAAAAGCTAAAAGACGCCATGTCTGTGTTATCCCAAGGGGCACAAATATGTCGGCCGGAAGCTAGCAAAAACATCTGTCATCGAGGTTTGCTGTGAAAAAGCCTGTAGTTGTCATCTGAAGGCTCAAATACATCTATACCAGAACTTATTCTCACACAAGAATTGTTCAGATTGCGAAATCTCATCGGATGAAAGACTTTTTTTTACCTACGTTACAGCACTCTCGACCGCCATTTTGATATCGTGTCACGGAAAGCTTTGAAATTCAACCTTGCTTTATTACGACAAGAAAAACCTATCAAACTGAAAATTTGTAAAAAGATAAGCCTTAAGCAATGCTATTAACTAATTAAACTAAAATCAAAAAAGGATTGAAAATTCCTTATTTCTTACCTTTGATGAGGTCACGAGAAAACCAACAATAATAATATATGCTGTTTCAGTTATTTCTATCTCCTCCGGAAATAGTGAAATAAATATACAAAGTCCATACATCAGCATGTTAGAAATTGTATAAAATTAATAAAATTATTTTTTTTAAGTAAACTGCTCAAATTTACTCCCATAGAAGATTGTTTGAGAAATAGATAAACAGTACAAGATATGAGAAAAAAGGTCGCATGGCGCAAAACGGTACGCGTTGAGTGTTGAAAGTATGTACTGTATACATTCTTCAGAAAAAAAACTTAACGAAAACTTGTTACTCCCGACAACCCGCAACAAAACCTTTTCGTTGTTAAAAGTATACTATCATGAATGGGTCAAAATCCGACTTTGGACAGGCGTTAGTCTGTTTCGGAACGGTTTCAACTGATTTCGGGCAGTTTCGCCTTACCTCGGACTGTCCGTCTGTTTTCAGATGGTTCCATCGAATGCGTATGTACATGTCCGATTGCATGAAAAATCATTCTCATTTATATGCAATGACATTTACAGTCAAAATCATTTTTCTACACTCCATTTTTGCCATGACTCGATTTTACAAGTCTCGTAACATGGTTCTTACAGGATTTCTCTCAGTTTACAAAGCTTCCAAACAATTCCTAAATTACGCCCGAGAGAGTGTTCTTAATTTATTTTTGCGTTTTTCAGTCAAGTGGAGGCTCTTTTCGCCATACGCGTTTCGTGTTGTTCACGCCTTCGCTTGTCTACATCCATCTGGAAAACGTAAAATAAAGACGCTTGATCTGTGGGTTTCTGACACAAAAGAGCTACTGATAGATAGTCAAACGACAGTCCTCCGTTAGAAGCTTGAGAAATAAAAAAAAGCCCCATACCCATACCCAGGAATGAGAAATTACTGATGAAACGAGTCATTTAGTCCCTTTCTGAAAACACATGCTTGAAATTCCAAATTTCGGCCTCGTTTTTCTGTAGGGTAAGAAAAAGACTCGTGCTCATAAGAAGAGAGCCCAGCCGTCTTGCAAAATACCGTGCACACGTGCCACTCCCTGCATAGCCGTGGGCGAGGAGTCGCAATGGCCTCCAGTTGACCTTCTGTAAGAGTGCATTAGAACCTTCTAGGTATCAATGATCTCTTCATACTGATTTTTTTTGTGCTTGAATCGTTTAGAAAACTAAAAGACCCGAGGCTATGACTCATAGCAGCGGTATCCATAATCGGCCAACCTCTGATTCTCTTTTTCATCGAAACTGTCAAGTGAATAAAGAAATAGATTATTCTGTAGATTCGCCAGTTTATGACTGCACTCGACCGCAAAATCAGCTACCCTGCGACGACTAATGTTTCATTCATTTTTTATGATATTTTCTATGAAAGGACCTATTAGGAAAGCTAGGAATAGAGGGCTGAAGATCCCCAGTTTTGATAAATTTCTTGATGTAGGATTTTTGTTTCAGTTACATAAGAACAAAAACAGCATTGTTAACATTCTGTCAACTCTTGACCTACTTGCATATTATTTGAAGTATCTCTTTTTTTCTCATCAGTATTCGCTTTTAACTCACCCGCTCTCCAGCCTACACTACTTAAAATGATTCACTCATTCATAAACGGGTAAAAAGTTTTGCAAGCCTTGCACTTTATCAATCATAGTGTTTCCTGTTTTTTTTTTTTTTTTTTTATTCCTGCGTAATTCCCCTTTAGATTTAACAGGCCACATTAAATATGAGCGTTGTTGAGTATATCCTGCTTAGCTTGCAGGGTCAAAGTTTCTTTGGAGAACTGCTATTTTTGAACCAACTTCCTGAATAGATCAAAGAATCCATTCACTATTTCGGTTTGCCTTTTCTTGTTACATGAAGTTGATAACAAAGGTACACGTGGAAAGTGTTGGGAGAAGTTGTGATTGGATCCGTAGCATACTTAATTTGTTCTTAAGTCGAACCTTGCCTTTACACTAAACTTGAGGAGCTGACGTTTAAATTACTTCTCTCCGCTTTGGAGAAAGCAATTCTTTGCAAATTAAACCAAAATTGGAATTGAAATCGCTGCACGAGTTAATTTCGTAACGTTTTTGCGGTGATAATTCTATTAAGTTCTCACAACGCAAGTGAAAAATTGCTCGACGTGATCGGAACTAGGCAGCTTTCATGCACGACTTCTTCGTGATGATTGCTCTTTGAGCCCGCGGCTATCGACGATGACAAAGCCAGGAACATACGGTTGACTTTAGACACTGTTCAAGTGTTCAATATGTCATCTTTCATTGCTCAGGTCGAGTTACTCTTTCTTACTCAAACGAAACGGTAAAAAGAAACCAAAATTTATTAACGAGTCTGTTTTTTTTTTTTCTCCCCTGTTTAGCCAAAAAAATCTTCTTATTAGTCATTCTTATAAGATGATTTTTTTTTTTTCACCAAGCATCAACAAATCTTGTGACTATAATAAGATGATAATATGATCTTAGTAATTAGATAGAAGGAACTTGATGAATTCCCTGGGACAATAGATCTTTTATCAGGTGATAAGCATGCCAGAAGTAAACAAACAATAACTAGATCGTTCTATCGATCAGGCGACGCCGGCGCTTGCGTAAAAAGGAGCGAAGGTGCAGGTATAAATTGCAGTCGTTCAAGCTCAACGAAGGCAAGCGCAGCCAGGAGTGGAACTTGCACCATGAAGGCTCTTGTACTCTCGCTGTTTCTTCTTTTTGCCCTTGTTCATGGATTCCCAAGTAGGTGTTTTTAAACTCGAGACTTTCTGGTGCATTTTAAATTGGTCACTTTTTTACATCACCATTGCTACTGTACAGTAGCAGCTAAATACCGAAGAAGAATTACCTCTTCCTGGGTAGTTTTCAGACGTGTTCCAGTGTATGTTTTTCGCAATTCAGACGGAAACTAAACGGCAGGGAGCATTATGAAATTAGTTGTATCTCTCAACTGAACATTTACCTGTATTTTTCACAGAGCTCTGTGACAAGTTTTATTCATGCGTAATATGTTTTTGTAAGACAGCGGAACTGTTTCTGCCTATTCATATGCTCTTTTGTGTGCGTTGAAAGTTTTGTGGTTAGAGACAAATGTAGCGATGTGATCACTGACACGTATTTTATAACGGTAGGAAACCCGGGAAACACAAAATCTAAACAAGATTCGGACCAGAAGCGGAAATTTCAAGATAGAAATGTGGATGGACTAATGAAACAGGGCCACCAAGATGGTATGCCAGTGGTTCGTTGGTGCGTCACCAACCCTTGCGAGATGAAGAAGTGCGAGAGAATGGCCATGGAATTCAACTACAAAATCAGCCCTCGGATGCAATGGAGCTGCGTAATGGCGTCATGCAAAGAATCGTGCATGGACGAGATTCAACGTGGAAATGCAGACATCATGACAGCCGAAGGTGACGAGATTTACACGGCCGGCAAGATGCACGACCTAAAACCGATTATGGCTGAAAAGGAGGATCATGACCATGATACCAACTACGACAAGAAGTTTAAGAAGTTTGAAGAGCAAGACGGTACCCTCAAGCATTTCTCCATTGCTTTGATTAAGAAGTCATCCACCGGTATCAAAAGCTTCCAGGACTTAAACCAGACGAAATCGTGTCACCCTGGCGTGGACTCAAAAGCCGGTTTCAAATCCCCAGTCTGTTCACTGATAAAGAAGGACGTCGTGCCCAGCGTTGGAAATGTGTTTGAGAGCGCTGGGGAGTTTTTCAAAGAAAGCTGCCTCCCTGGCGTGCAGCAAGATAAGTTCAACCCCAACATGACAAACCCGGAATCTCTGTGCAAGCTATGCAAAGGTATGTGAAACTTGAGGAATCTAAAGGTTTAAAGTTTCTCGTTAGTGAGCATTCCGGTAAATCAATACAGTTGCTCAGCGGGTGACCTGATATTCACGAAGAGTTCATTTTTTTCTTGAGATATTTTTCAAAAGGTTCTACAAACCTGATGGCTCTGTGTAGTTTTATTTTTCGACCCAATGTCCGACAAGTGGATCATTTCTAACCTAAATTGATCGAACTAATTTGAATGAAGTTTTTATACAGGTTTTAGTGGGAGTTTACGTTTTTGCACCCATAGAAATGAAAGGAAAAATTTAAAACGAAAAAAATCTTATTATAGGAATTGTAGGACCTGTTTGCAGAGGATCAAAAGTTGAAATGGTAAAATGAACGTTAAGATCTGTTCAGGTATGCGTACGTGCTGTAGGGAGGCCTCAGCCCAGGAAGTTTGGGGTCAAAAGGAACGGATGGTTTCGATCACGACTCTTTGATTCGAGGGCCGGAAAATCGCTTTAATTAATTATCGAATTTTTACTCGACTTAAAAGCAAATGTACAAGCCCGTGTTGAAACTACATTTCAGTAAAATTCTGTTTGACTAAAAAATAACTGAGACAAGAGTCTCACAAATGCGAAAAAATCAAATCGTTCGCTAAATAAACAGTGGACAAATTGAACGCGAAAAGCAGATAATATTGCATCCCCAAGTCTGAAAGTGCCCTTTGATTATATAATATATCGCTTTTCTCTGAAATCATATCATGATCTTCCGTTCTCAGCAAAAGAAAATTATGAAGCGCTTTGGTGCCAAAAGTTCATTTCCTGTTTTCAGATAAAACAGAAAGTCGTCCGTTATGTATTATTTCAGATCTCGTTATGGGCGATAAAGTAAAGAAAAACAGATATGAGCTGAAATGGGGCAAAAGGTTCTTCCAAATCCAGTGTAAAGTGACACTCAAAAATAAGTATTTCCTTTTTTTTCTATCAAGGGAAGCATTAGTTACTTACGTGCTTATTTTTAGGCTTACGGTTCAGGGTTCAACTCGAAAAAGATACTATTTCTCAAAAAACACATATCTGCTTCCCTTGGGCAGCACCTATGCATGTCACGGGAGAAAAGAGAAAATCTGTCGTTTATTTGTGTGATACGTGCCTCCACACTCAGTCTTACTGATATCGAATGAGGTGACTGCGGAAGAGATCATCATCTGTATGAGTTCAAAATTTTATTTTGATGCGCAGTAACCTTTTAACTATTCTGCAAAATTCTTCAAGATCTCCAGTCACTATTTATTGCCGAGGGCGAGTTGTAGGGGGGTGGGGTGGGGGAGGTAAGCCTATACGCTTGTGAAATGCTGGAAAGTTGCTCACTGGAATGTCAACAAGTTGCTAAAAAATTGCTAAAATAACTAAATTTTAAAATTTGACTCCATGAACTTCTTGATGCTTTTCTATAAACCTTTATTCAAGGCTTTACTTTTCGTTATTTGCAATAATTGCCAACATCGGTCATGAAAAATAGTTTGAGTTGGCTTTACGGAGTTGCTCGCAAATAAAACCAGCATTCCAAATTCCAATTCGATCTGAAAACAGTGGACAAGAAGAGCCACCCAGTGGAATGTCCATTGCTAAATTATTTATTTATTTATTATTTATTATATGGGCAGATTGAGATAAGGATCGCAAAAGGCCTGCGAAACGTTGTCAAGTTACGGGTTATGTTTTCTTTTATTACAATTCGTCGACATCTTCTTGATATGTGCTTTAAACCTATATTTTCCTCAAAAACTGCTCAGAAAGGAAAAATTAAAACTGCTCGAAGTTTTTAGGTGATTTCTATTTTCACGTGCTTTGATGCCCAAATAAGGTGATTTTGCGTACATAATAAATAGTCTGAAAAAAAAAATGAACGAAACAAACAAACAATCGAAGCAAGAATGAAAGTTAAAAAGAAAGAAAGAACGAAAGAAAGGACGAAAAGTAAAGGAAATGTGACAAAAAATCTGAAAGGTTACTTCTTTTACGTGTGTATTTCACTTAGGACAAGGAGACAAAGATGACAAGTTCTGCCAGATCCTCTCAGAAAAGGAGCCATACTATGGAGCTGACGGGGCCCTGAAGTGCCTCCGGGAGCGAGCAGGGGATGTGGCCTTCTTTCACTCTCACGATATTATGCTGAAGTACGACACATTTTCAACCGAGTTTGATATCGTTTGCGAGACAAAGAAGCGTCCTCTGACATGGGTTAACCTTATGAAACCAGACTGTCATCTAACAGAGGAACATCCCCAGGTATACGACTTAATCGATTGTTATACATTTAATTGGCATACACTGAGCTGAAGATCCAGGGCAAGACTAGGCCTTAGTTTAGCCAGACTTTCGTTTGTGTTGATGAGAAACTTTCACAGTGCTCTATTCCATCCAAAAGTATAAAGCGGGTAACAACAATTCGTTTTGGTAGCCCTGTATAATGCAATGAGAGAGGTGGGAGAGGCTACTCGCTTTGAACCTCGCTCCTAGAGCCCAAAGGGACAAGGCCCTGAGAACGAGATTAACTTGATTTATCATCTTCCACGGGAGGAGAAGCGATTTTATTTTGTGCCAAAGAAACCACAATGAGCTTTAGCATCGTGGCTCAATTTTGCTCTTGAGTAGAATTTCTAGTATTTCTTGTTGAGGTGACTGGAACGCAGGCGTCTCGCTGATTTAGAAGACAAATTCCTAGATACATTAATAAGAGTCCGATGCTCCATGATTCAGATAATACAACAAATCTCCACTGTTCTCACTAAAGTCACAGCGTTTACTTCGTCCAAACAGGTTTTGATGGTAAATGGTAAGAAATCTAAGAAATGGATTAAGACTTGCACTGACGCCCTTATGGACGCCTCAACAAAATTCAAATCACCAGCCAGTGGTGAGTTCGATATGTTTGACTCCATCCAATACTGCGCCAAGGACGATAGTGATGACAAAAGAAGCGAGATGAAGAATGGGATGTTCAAGGTGGACATGAACCTCATGAAGAAGAAGGATCTGATCTTCAAAGACTGTTCTAACTCTCTCGTGCCCATCCCAGAGGTAATGCTGGTGTCACTGCTCATGCGTGGTCCCCTATTATGGTGGCTCTAGACGTCAGACAAACTAAAATTAAAATTTGGGAAAGCATTTAGCGTTAATATAATCGACGTTTAAAGGAAAATTACGGAATTTTGTTTCACCTCTGAATATTTATTCTCTCGCCAAACATTCAATATATATACTGAACGCAAAATAGCTCTTCTGATTTCATAGTTATTTGCCTGACACTGCTGCAAGGAAACATATTTCCTTGCAGTATACATACACATTATCATTTGCTGCTAACATGAGTTGCACCGTTAACCAGTATTCGTAAAGGCTATTTGGTTGCCTTAGGTTTCCAGTAACCGAAATGGGCGGGAAACAAACAAAAAACAAATAAACAAAACAAAAAGGACGCGTAAAATACAAAAAAGGCAGAGAGATAAATTAAGACAGACAAAAACACCACAACAAGCTAAGTGGGGTCTTCGCTTATTAAAGACTGCTCTTTTCTTTTATTTCAGGACAAAAGAACTTACGAGAAATTCCTTGGCATTGAAATGGTTGGGGTGTGGAAAGCCTGCGAGCAGCTGGAGCCCAAACCCCGCGCTTTTATCTGTGTTGTTGGAGACGATCAAATGTCAAAATGCCAAGATATGATCACCAAATTCCAAACAATAGATGGTTAGTTTTTATGTACGCAGAGTAGATTTTTCATTGCGAACTTTTTCTTAGGAGATATTTTGCAGCAACGTTTGGATCATGCGCCAATCTTCTCAGGCAATTCTTGAAGTGTCCAAGCGGGAAGCCACTTATCTTTTATCTTGGCATTGTCACGATGTAGTGAACTCGGATCATCCTACAAATCTGTTTCATCCTGTAACGAAAAAAAAAAAAAACCCAACAGAAATTTTAGTGAATTAGATTATAGCTGTTTATTGACTTGAGATGAGTTTGCCAAGAAACGCCTGTAACTACATGTAGTTTACTGGAACTGTTCGTTCGTCAAATGCAAGCGAGAAATTTTGCAAAAGATTTGAGCCACCGGTTACCTTTTGCATCTTTAACAGAGGTCAGAAAAGTGTCCTGGGGCTGTATTGAGGCTCCCTCCAAACAAGAGTGCGTGGAAATGGTAGCTGATGGCCTAGCTGATCTGGTTGATCTCAACGCGACTGAAATGTTTGTGGCAGGGATGGATTTCAATCTGGCTCCTTTTGTAGCGGAGAATTACAAAGGGTAAGTATGACGATTTTACTATTTGATGGCAATCTGTTCCTTACATTTATACTTCAATGGGATAAGCGGGGCAATACCGACATAGAAAATATTTTAAGTAATGATAAGGAGTGAAAGAGTAGCCGTTAGCAAACATCTTTAAGGTGCGGTTAAGATGCCGGAATGAAAGGAGTGGATCTGACCCCCTCTTAGGCTCATAAAAGTGTTAAATCGTGTTATTTAAACAGCCTGTCATGCCCCTGATTGCAGGCCAAGACTCTCTCTCTCTCTCCATTCAGAGGAAAATCCTGTGTGTGCCTCTGTGCATTTCAGCGGCCGAAAATGCGGAAAGCAAATACTTCCAAACAATACATACAAAAGTACAGTCGGCTATGTCGCAATATTTTCTGTGAGAGTATGAAAATGCGTTGAATCTGTAAGTCGGAGATAGGTGCAAAGCTTTTCAATGGAGACAAAAGCGACGTGTTACATGGGCTTGTCATTTACTGCGTTTTAATTGAGTAACTTACTTCATGTACCAGTGCACGCCGTTAATTTACTGCCATTTTTTACTTTTGCTCTATTAGTAAAGATCCAATGACTGAAAGTATCACCATCGGTGTTATGCTTAAAGACAGCAGTGATATTCCAGGGGATATGCAGGGCTTGAAAATGTGCAATGCAGGTGTGGACAAACTCAGTGGATTCCTACACCCCATGGGCTGGCTCATGGCTAATGGCACCGTACCAAGAAGGACAACGCCTTTGGAATCAATTGGGTTAGTTTTAGTCATGCTATAAAAATGCGATTTTTTTAAGATTTAGAAAAATGGTACAACAGAGGCTCTTTTATTTCTCTCTCTCTCTCTCTCTCTCTCTCTCTCTCTCTGTCTCTCTCTCTCTCTCTTTCTCTCTCTCTCTCTCTCTCTCTCTCTCTCTTTTTACTACGATCCTATCAACTTAAGCAGAGATAGATATTCAACATCGCTGTTGTACGATTGTTTTTTGTTCTTGATATTGTTTTCTTTTTTTACATAAATTATGTCACTTAAGTCATGTCCACGATAAGTAGATTACATTTACTAGACTTAACATTAAGACGGAGATCAAAGAGCAAGTGCTTTTACTCGGGATAATTCTGATGAAGAAAATAAACCAAAACTCACAAACAAGAGTGATCTGGTGGTGAAGATACGCGTCAATCTTAACCTCTGTCATTTTTCAGAAAATACTTTGGCGAGAGCTGCGTTCCCGGTATTGACAAATTTGACTTGACCCGTCATCCTCTGCTTTCTCGCACGCTTGACTGGAGAGGTATGCTCAAAGACAAGATTGTAAGATGGGAAGACTGGTACAATGCGCCTCTCTGGCGTCAGTGGCAAGACAAGCAGGACGGTAAGACTGACGTCTATACCGCTATGCACAAGATCGAGGACTTCCAATCTCCAGAGTTTAAAGTAATGATTGCAAAAATGGGCTCCTTAAATCCACGCATGCGTAAATACCACACACCGGAGATTCGCCAAATCCTTGAGAAGGTAAGTACTTAATACATCAAATAGGAAATATATCCCAAAGAGAGCCTGGTAAACGAATCTGGCCCGTGTTACTGCCCTTCCAAAATGCTCCCAATTGACGAGACTGCGTTTAAATCAGATTCCTGGAGCGTAAAGGTATTGAAAAAGACGAAGAGAACACCATGCTTGCTTAGCGAACAGGATTTGCACTTAGGTATAGCTGAAGCTTCAAAAACTCAATCAAAGTTCAATTCCTCCAATTGAATGGTTCCACCTGCTTTAAAACCAAAATCTTATCTGGCTCTTAAATCTTGTGTCCACCAACTTCCTGTTGGCAAAATGACAGCTATCTTCATGTGGAAAAATTCAGATTTGAGCATTAAGCTGCATAATACACGTGGAAAACCTTACTGCCTCTTCCCACTGAGATTAAAAACTGTCAGTGCTGTATCGCAAACGGCAAGCCACACTGGGGAGGCATTTTTCCAGGAAATAACTATTTTTAGGCTTTCTATCCGACCATCTCTTGGAACTGATTGCCTGCCAGTCGTGAAGATCAGGAAAGACGGTTTTCAAAAACCTAGCTATTAAACAGCATGCGCAATTTCGAGACACATTTGCATGTCGTTTTTCTTTCCTGACAGACTTACAAAGATTTCAAGTGGGAAAACTACAAAGGCTTGGAAGATTTCTATGGCTTGAAGATGCCAGAGTGGAAGATGATCGGATGGGTGTGGCACAAACCAGAAGACTGGACAGAAGAGCAATGGGTGCTGTTCCAGATGTGGGCCGAGCGCTCCTGGAATCAAAAGGAAGACCTGGCGTCTTTCGTTGAGAAATGGACGGATATGGATTGGGAGATATTCAAGAGATGGATGTACGCAGAGTTTCAAGATTACTACACAAAGGATCAATGTTTATATCAGGATACCTTTATCAGGTAGTCAAGGACGAATCCAGGAGATTTTCAAAGGGGGTGGACTAAAAACATAAAGCCCAAATATGCTAGGAAATATTTTCACACAAGTAAATTTTGAAGGAACCTCAACTTGAGTTTCAACTGGCGATCCTGTTGTCCC